TTTTGAAGATGTCGCAGTGAGGACGGTATTTAAGTGACACAATATTGATTTTAGCAGCTTGGCACCTCTCATGGAAGTGCTGGTAAACACGGCCTGTATTTGCTAGGGGAAAAGTTTCAGAGGTGACTGCTGTAAAACGTAACTCTAAGGATGGTAAAAAAGGAATAATAATACACAACTGCTTAGGGTTGTGTCAAATGTGGGAAGCAGGTGGCACAAACGGAAAAGCTGGAGAAAGGTCAAGCCTTGGAGGAATTGAGAGAGAAACTCTTCTTGCAGGCAGAGCTGATCTGAAGCGGTCTCTTGTCAGAAGCAACCAGGAAGAAAATCAAGTAAATAGCTTTAAAGGAACTGGAAGATAGAATTCATCTCATCTCATTTTAAGCATTTTAAAATGAAGTATGTAACCTGCGCTTATCATCCAGTCTTCCCGAGTAAAAAGAGAAAGAGAAAATAGAGGGCAATAAACGTTGGCTATCTGTGAAAGCACTCCAATCCAGGAGCCAGTTCAAACGTGCTCAGAGATGAGGTTGGATGAGGAAAATCCCAACCAGAATCACCATAGAACTCCCGAGAAGGTGCATTTGTCAACGTGAATTTAATGAGGTGTTTGCTTGGAGCAGCACCCCACCATCACATTGCAAGAGAGACTGCTTGGATGTGGCCCCTTGCCAACTTCAGTAAACCAGCAGAACTCTCACAAAAAAGAAATCACAAAACAAGGTGTTTTGTATGGGTTTTTTTCTTGAAAAAACAAGGAAAGATGAACGCTAATGCAATAAATGAAGAAAATACATCAACTTTGATTCCTATTTGCCTAGGTCTATAATTACCTCAGGAAAAAAAATATGATTGGGTTGTGAGATAAACAGCATTTATTCTTGATAAAAGAACAATAGTGCATTTTTGACAAGCATTTTTCAATATGCCACCTTGGTTGTTCTAGTAACAGACATTAAAAATGAAGTATGATAGAATTTCTAAGAAGATTCCAATGGTTAACAAAAGAAAACAGTGTATTTCTCTTTTTAAGAGGATCTCAGATTTCTCAGGGATAACAAGAAATTTTTAATCAGTCTCTTTGCAAATTTGCATGGGGTAATTTTTGAAAGTACAGTTTTATTCCTGGCTTAGGTATAGATGCTACTTGAGAATCAGCAAAGACGAATCAGAGGCATGTAACTGGATGGAGGCCAGCTAGCTCTACGGTGGGGTATGAGTGGGAACTGGAGGTGCAGAGAATCACAGAAAGAAAGATAGGATAAGATTCTTAGGGAGCACCAAATATTCAGCAATTTTAGAGGGAAAAAAAGCATTGCCAACGTGATTCAGGATCCAGATCTGCAAGAAAAAACATTTACTTTGTCCTTTGCCCCTTCTGCGGTGCAGCCCAGCAAAAAAGCATGTTCAGGCTTTCCTTTATGCTGTAAATTCTTCACTTATGGAAACTAGGCTTACTCAACCTTCCTAAGTCTAATTCTGATCCTAGCATTAACATGAAAATGGCATTAGCTTTCCATGTAAGCCTGGTCATGGACCCGCTCTATTCTGACAGCAGCCTGGTCTTGCATAACCCAAACTCCCTGTTAGTTCTCTATGGAACTAGATTTGTACAAAGTCCTTTTACAGATGCCCCAAATGCTGGCAGTGAAGAACTCATAATCTTGAGTTGTTTAATCCAGCCATTCCTCCTTATTTTAACTTCATATGCTAAAGCACCTGATGTATAGAAGGCATCAAATCTGCCATATCTACTCTGAGATCAGCTTCCACTGCTCTGTATCGTTTGTATTAGCTTCTCCTTGCTTTCCAGACACATTTCCACATCCCTAACACACTGACAGAGCTCTTACACACTGACACCCCAGTACAATCCCATTGCAAAGGAGCCCAGAGAAAACCTCTTATTGCATTCGGCTGCAGCCAACAGAAAAGAAACACTAGAAAGTGGAAGAACTTATGCAACAGATAAATCATAAGGAGAACATGCCCACACTTCTCATTGCACAGATCCCATACATCACCACGACTCTGCGCAGTTCCCCCAGTGGAGACAAATTTCAACTTCTAACGTACTTTCCATCTGACTCCTCCAGGATAAAAGATGAGTCGCTGTCCTGAGATATTACATTTGGATTGTAACATATTAAAAACCTCAGTGTTTTGGAACAATTTGGTTTGGAGAGCCAGTACTAATTCCATCTCTGTGGTTTGAGCTGTGCATTCTACCATCATCATGAGAAAACTCCTCTAGTCCAATTTCTATCTCACATCTCTTCTCTTCTGGCTTGTCTGGTCTTCATCAACCAGCAAAGCTGTGATCAATCTTGTAAATTTAATTTAGAGATCATCTTGCTGGCTTTGAATCAGACAAGGTTAGCTGTCTGCTTGTTGCCTACAGTCTGCTAATCTTGTATAATTCCTCCATGACCACCTGGCCGGAACAGTTGTTGGGAGCTTTGAGTGGGGAGAGCACAACGTCTCTTCTACGAAGTGCTTGGGACTTTAGTTGGACACACGCAGATGGCATCCTGGCTGCTGCTCAAACCTCCATAACTTCTGCATAAGGACAAACCCTCACATTTTTAATAAACTGGCTGCATTGCAAACATCATCTCAGCAGCATAAAGCTGGAGCTACCATTTCCAAAACTCCTCCTAGACTTCCCCACTGGTTATAAATTTCTCCTAACTGTAACACTACAAAAGTGCACTACCTCTTTGTGTATTGTGACCATTGCTGCCAATGGAGGCCAACATTCTGTCACTGAAACACTAGCAGTTCTGCAGAGGAGAGATCCATAGAGCAAGAGAATTCCTGCTATTTGCAAGTAAACAATGCACTTTCCTCTAAGAAGAACCTTTGGCATAAGCCAAGGGTTACAAACTGACCATATTATTGGCACAAATATTATTCATGCAAACTTTACTTCTGTATATTCCCTTTCTAAGGAAATACGCAACACCAGCAGGGGATAAAAAACCTTTGCTGCACGCACATCTCAGGTGGATATCTTTCATCTCCTTTCCTAATATTTCCTTTAGGCTTCGATAATTTTTATTGTTTTTTTTCTCTTTGCTCTTTCCCACGCTTGAGCAGTTCTTGGATTTGGCAGGCAGAGAGCAGCAGTTATACGACATGCATTTCTTAATGTATCAAAACACATCCCTTTGATTCATTTTTTAAAAAAAGCAAACTGTTCACTCAAGGTTAATAACTTTTCCACTCCACCTGGGCATAAGAGATTTCCAGATGTTGCTGGGAATTTTTAAACAACGCTCGTACCTTCAGAAATGAGCTGGGCAAAATCTGCTTTCCAGCCACCCCTCAGACCAAGGCGAATGACTGGCCTCTCTGAGAGCTGGCCCAGAGGCTTGTTGATTGCTGCCATTTTGACATATTTAATAGAAGTCCTGTGATGTCATGAGAGCTGCGCGAGCTCCACAGCAGCTATCCCAACAATTCCTATTAGTAACGAAGCATCACACATAACAGGAAATATGCTGAAACCAAACACTGACCTTGGACAACAAACACGTAACATTCACCTCAGCAATTCTTTATATTTGTACATTCAAGACTACAAGATGAAACTGTGTCCAGGAAAAAGCCTATGTGTGGGCATTTGATAGGGATAACATATGTGCTCTTTGCTGGGTGTAACAATCAGAAAGGTCAGCGTGATGGAAGGGTGATACAGGAGTGTAGTATCAAAGGGACTAGTGTGAATGGAATGGTGTGGCAAAGGAAAACTGCTCACCCATCTCCAAAGATCTGGGCTCAACAAGGAAAACTCCACAAGGGAGGGATCTTCAACCAGAGATCCTTCCCCAGTGGCTGTCAGCCTTTAACTGAGGTCTAAGAGAGGTGCAGCCAGGCTCCACCCCAATTGCACAGCTGAATTGCCTTCACCTGTGCTCTCAAGGCTGACCAGGTCCTTTCCCCAGGTGCTCAATCAGTGGCTCAGGCTGTGACTCAACAGTTACCATAGACTGGGTGACCACCTGAGATAGCCCCTATGAAGATAACATCAGGGAGGGAGGGAATTAACACTCTGATCAGCTCTGACCATCCAGGACTCAACCAGGATGTGGATCAGAGCAGTGAACACTGCTGCTTTGCCAGATGAGAGGAACCAGGTGATTTGCAAGCAGTTCACGCATTCACTTTAATCATTCATATAAACTGAGTCACGTCATCACTAGACTTTAATCAGGCTCTCTAGAACACATTTAGTGTACAGAAGACTCAAACCTTCATAATAATGACATTTTACGCATAGGCAGCATTAACTTCTCTTTCCATTTCTTCAGTATTCCAAATATTAGAGCCATCTCTGGCTCAAGCGCCTTCCTTATCCATCAGACCCCACTACTCACAAGACCAAAAATCTTCCCTAGCTTCAAAACAAATACCACAAAACAAGCAAAGCTTGGCATCAAAATGGGAGGAAGGATGAAGTTCTCCTTAAGACCATGCAGCTGAAAGATAGAATGCTTCCATGGAAAAAAAAAAAAAAGAAAAAGAAACAACCTGTTTGCAAAATAAATATGATTTGGCCAGTTTCACAAAGGCAATTGTCTGACTGAAGAGCCAACTGAAGTACCACTGAAATACAAGAAATGCAAGAAAAGGCCCAACAAATGGTAATCTCTCCCATTGCTCATCCCCACCTAATACACAGAATTAACATATAGCTTCCTCTCACTCTAAATCAGTCGAACAAAACAAAGACAGCATTTCAAAATCTGCTAGGTAAAATAGACCATCTTTTGTTCTGCATGTGTCCATACCAAAAACATATCTCAGCTTGTTTTAAGATTTGATTCTTTTTTTTTTCCTTCAGATTTATGGTTACAAAAAAAATAATAAAAACAAGCAAGGGAAAATATGTTGATTTATCATTTCCAGCATGGATTTCCCTGGGATCTCTGCATCTACTTTTCACAGGCACTGTATGTTTCTAAGAAGGATTTGAATGTGGAAAGAAGGAGACTTACCAGGTGGTGCTGGAGGAAGAATCCCATGGGCAGGAGAAGGGTTGCAGAGCTGCAGAGACAGCAGACAAACTCTGAGCCTTGCTAGAGTGGAGAGGAGCACTTGAGGAACTCTGGTCAATGGCATCAGGGAGAGGAAAAGGATGGAGGGCCTAGAAAGGAAGAGCAGGACATTGCTGTTAAATAACCAATAGATACTGCAGATACAAAGGCACGAGCCAGAGTCTCAGCTGAGCAGGTTAAATTGGTACCTTTATATGTTTTTAGCCCAGGTTCCCAATGAAAGCAGCAGCTGAGCACATGCAGATTAGTAACCCCTCTTGATTTCTTTATCAGGAAAGAAAACAAGAGTGTCGCTGTCTGGGAACAGCTTAAACCTTTCAGAGATCTTACCAAAATCATACTATTTTTCCCCAGCTCCACCTCAGCTCACCAGCAGATGCTGTCACCCACATGACAACAGGAGCAACAGCTGAAAAGTGGCAGCAAATTGGCAAGGAGGGCCACAACGCCCTGCCCAGAAACCTGAAAGCAGTGTTCATCACTACACGTTATCCAGCCACACCGAATTGCAATGCGTGCTTATGTGGGTAATACAGAGGGAGAGGGAAGAACAGAAACTACTTGCCTGAAAGGCACTTCACATGGAAGCACCATCTTGAAATTAATTCCTATTAATTTTTAAAGTGGAATTTTAAATAGGCTTGTAATTTTTTAAAAAGTCTGGCACAAGTCTGCCTCTTGCCAGTCCCAGCATTTAGAAACTTTCACCTATGGAAAAATCCTATTTTCAGTAGCAGGGCTGACAGCATTGAAGCTGAATAAGGAGAAATTTAAATTAGTCAGAAAACCATCACGTTTAGATGAGAACAATGTCCTCCCAGGAAGCAGCATTTAAACTGCCTCTGAGATTTCTGGAGGAAGGACATCGCTCAGCATTGCTCTTTATACAAAAGTCAATAGCCTGAAGAAAGATGGATTGTTTTTCATAGCATCCGTAAGAGCTTGAATCAGAAAGTATCATATTGTCAGGGCATCTGAGGTTAAGCTCCCAGTTTTTGGTTGCTTCTCTATCCTATTTCGAGCAGCTGGGAAATCTGGATGAGGAACAGAGGTGGCGGTGTGAAAGCACAAAAGGCGCAGAGCAAAAGGGAGCGAAGCACATTGCCCCATGCATGGGAACCACAGCCTTACAAAGAAACAGCTGCAGTCAGAAATCTGCACACAGCCATGAGTTCTGCAGGGAACACAGCCTGCCTTAAGGCAAAACTCCAAGAAACAAACCACAGCAAGGACGCTGTTTCCACCTCTTCATGCCACTCATCCCAACCTTTGGTTGCCCTCAAAGGAAGCACCAGAGGCTTCATTTTAGCAACACCACAAGCAAACAACACAAGTAGCACAGCAGTTCTAAGCAGTTGTCCTGTGAGAGAGCTGGGCCAGCCCAAGAGCAAAATGGTACATGGAGCCAGAGGGATGCTGGGCACAACATGCGGTGCAGTGGATCTGCAGTACCAACAGGGCTACATATAAGAGCTCGCATCCTTCATTTGTTTATATTTTTACACCTAGAGTTACCAAATGTAATTGTTTGTCCTGTTACAGGAAGACAGACAGCCCAGCTGGTGTCTTTCTGGAGAATCTATATTGCCAAGAGAGTAAGCTGTGTACAGACCTACTGAGATGCTGGTAAAATGAATCACCCCCATCTCTTTGTAGCCCAAATAAGCAATGATGATTCATAGGTTAGAAGGGACCTTAAAGGTCATCTAGTCCCAGCACCCCCCCTTGGATGACCCCACACACTATCCAAGCCACAAAAACCTCTGTCATATGAACCAACACAACTGGTATTTCTAGTAACAGATCAAAGTATTTATTTTGTCAGAAACAATTTCCTCAATTTTTACTCTCCAAAGAGATGCTTAAAGTGCCTGTAAATGTTTTTGTGATAGGGAGATGAAGTTGTCACTGGGATAAGGGACAAAAAATAATTAGTGTAGAGTGAAACCCCCTTGGAGCAGTAATAAATCTTCAAGTGATTAATTAAACATACTCCAAAAAAATTCCATTTCTACCGCTTCTGCCTTTGTGAACAATCACAAATGGAAGTCCACTGAAGTGCAACAAAGGAGATATATTCCCTGTTGTACACCGAGGGATGCTGAGGCACAGAGATGCTCATCATCACATCTGGTGCCTGTGTTCTGCCTTCCTCTTTGTTCATAGAGAAAGGAGTCAGGAAAGCCCTTACCCCCCTGGGTAAGCACAGAAGCAGTGAGATCATGCTCTGAGCACAGCCTGGAGCCCTGTGGGAGAGCAGAGGAATCCTCCTGACATCTGCATTGCTGGCAGCAGCTGGGGACAAAGCTCTAGATGTGATAGCACAAAAAAAAAAAATTAAAAATAAAATCAGCACAGGTGTGTTCATTGCCCTGGAACACCCTGGGGATATGGCATTTCTGGAGAAACAAGTCCTCTGCTTCCAATTTGCATGTTGACTTCAGGCTGCCAGATAGCTTGGGAGCAGTTTGCAGATATGATTACCCGGGACTCGGCCCTTCTGAAAGTCTCCATAGGTGACATCAAAAAAAATCTTCATTCAAACATATTGCATATTTTTAAATGTAAAGGAATGGTAATTTTTTTTTATTATTTTTTTTTTTTTTTTTAAATATGCCATCAAAATCCCTGGGTGGAAAAGGCTTTTCTTTTAAAAGGAGCAAAATCCTCTGCATAGAGATTAATTTTATTCAATGAGAGCAGAAGCAGGCCTCGGTGCAACACTGCTGATCGAGTAACTATAGGATAACAGTAATTCACCTGTAATTCTGTAAAAAGCAATCCTTTAACCAATGTGAACAGTACTAAGGCCATCCAAAACCAACTTAAATTAGGAACAATTTCTTCTCTGGAGAAGCAGTGATGCAGTGGCACTGCTGCCCAGGGAAGTGGGGGGTCACCATCCCTGGGGGTGGTCCAGAACCATGGAAACGTGGCACTGATGGATGCTGTCAGTGGGCATGGAGAGGGCAGGCAGGGGTTGGATTCAAGGATCTCTGAGTTCTTTTCCAACCTTAATGATTCTGTGACTCTATGAAATATCCTCCAAATCCTCATGCCCAATACATCCTCCTGGCTAAACACAACTTCAGTAACTAGAGTCATGCAACAGGAACTGCCAGTTAAGAAGCTAAACCAGGTAAGTAGATGCTAACATCTGTTCCTCATCAATTGGTTTTGGATTGCTCTAAAAAGTCCACCTGTGACTGCTGGCAGTAAATTGCTATGGCCCGTGAAAATAATCCAAGGAAGACATGAAACAATAGCAGAGTTAAAAAAAAAAAAAAAAAGTCACTGAATAGAAAGTTGCACATCTCAATCAACCTCACAAAATTCATTTTCCTCTATTCTAGGAGGAATTTTCTATGGCCATGCCTTGTTCTAGCAACTATTCAGCATCACATGCATGCTTATTCTTAAAAAACTCTGAACAAATCGTTCAGCTGAAAATGATTTCCCCTGAGGAGGGAAGAGAACAAACACGTGCCAGATGCTTCTGGAAGGCAGACAGTCACTGCAAGGCTGAGAACAGCACAGGGACTGAGATGGGGCACAATTACCAGCGCTACCTTAGATTAATTTTCATTCTGCTTTCCTATCAGGCTCATTGCTGCGAAAACAAAAGGGATGAGATCCAATGAAAGCACTTTGCATGAGGAGAGGATAGGATGGCAGAACAAGGTTAAAACACACACAAGTTTCAATGTTTCAATTCATTTTTGCTCCGTTTCAGAACTTGTGCATACCTGTGGGTTTGCATGAGACTTTCTGGCTGTTGAGCTGAAAACACCAGCGCTACTTCTTTTATAATCTGCTCAGTGAGAGTTCAGCAACCTTTCCATCTCTACGCATTGGCTTTGGGAAAACTATTTGCACAAAACTGATTTTTGTGCTTTGGCAACCGTATACCAGTTCTAATGAAGAACATTGGATCTTTTTGGAATTTGCACTTTGGATCACTGTTATTTTTCTTTTTTAAATAGTTGTTACTTTGGATCACTGACATCCCATTCCAATTTATGCAACTTCCACTTTTCTGTTTTCACGTGGGCACGTTGTGATATCAAGCCACAAACAGCCCTCCTGTTGAAGATGAACATTTGGGGCAAAACATGAGGTTGGGTTAAAATGTTGGTTTCCTGTATACCAAAATTACAATGAAACAAATTCACATTTGGAAATACCAAAGACTAAAAGGAAAAAACAAGGACGGACCTCTAAAACATCTGATTTTCTACCAAGAAAACAACCAGAAAATGTTTTGTAAGAATTTGGAGAGAAAAAGGAGAAGTCACCAACGCAGCTTATGGCAAAAAGAATCACTGAAATCATCCCCTCCCACCTGGTACTTGGTGGTAGAGGTGGAATGTATGGCAGGCAGTGATGGCCGTGGATTTATGGATCGATTATGGGCCTTTTTGTGCCTCAGTCACCGTAGTCGAGAAATGGTAAGAAAACACACCGTCTGTTCCCTGGTGCCACTTCAGTATCACAGTGACTGCATTTAGATTCCTTGGATATACGCCAGTTCCTTGGAGCCTCACTCACCTGCTCCCGACAGCAAAATGTTTACTGATAATAATTACAGCTGGGATTAGCAGAGGTTTCTCGGGAATCCGGATGCCCATGGGAACATGCAGCACCGCAACTCTCCACCTATGGGTTTTACTCCAACTCTGATTGATTTCTTCCCTCCCCCCCCAGCAGCGTTTCAAGCTCACACGTGCAGAACAGCAAGAACACTTACAGGGGCAGCATCCTCACGTCGGCTACAGGCAGAGAATCCCGTTGTGACAGCAAATGTGCCCGTTCCAAAAAGCATTATTTCCATTCTGGTAGATACCTTTAAGCGGGGGCACTTTTCCAGCTTACCAAACGAACGGATAAATCGAGTGCTGGATCAACAGAAGAGCGTGGGGAGAGGGAAAGAGAGGGCTGGAAGGAGCCGGATCGTTCACCCCAGCTGCCGAGGAGAACAAAACCCTTCGCTGGTGCGCAGGAACGATTTGCTTCCACTTCCCCGGCTCTCGGAGGGCAGGAGAGGGATGAGATCCTCTCTCTTTGTTCTTTACTGCTTGGGGCATTTGCATAAAAAGAGGCTCTTTGTTATTTAAACACTCATCTGCTCCCAGCGCTTACCCTCATTTTCAAGTTATGATCCTCTATTAGCAATGTGTCAATCACGCTGCTACGGGGGTGGCCTGAAGGTTAGACTGCAAGAGCTCAGCTTCAGGGCTTCCCGTGCATGAGGATGCACAGCCTCGAAGCTTCTCATTTTCCAGCAGGTGGGTCCGAAGGTTGGCAGCGGTGTTGGTGCAAGACATTGAACTGGGAGTGCCATTGCTTCATTATTCAGCCCGGAAAGAGCCGAGGAGCACTGCAGGCTGAATCTGAAATTGCCTCCTCCAGCACAAGCAAGAGATGAGCATCATTCTTCTCCCATGCAAACACAAAGAGGAGCAACTCTTGAGATCAGTGCCATGAAGTCAGTGCAAGGCACGGTTAGACCAAATGGTGCCAGAAAGCTGAACGAGCTTCTAAAACCTGGTGAATATTTATTCTGTATCTCATGTAGGAACACTGAGCAAATTTGGCTTTCCATATATACCAGAAGCAAACTGAGTGCTGCTACGAGGAGATGAAATGGCTTTGTTACCACATCCAGGATTCCTTTGTTCAAATATGGAAAGAATAGGAAGCTAAATTAAATGCTTTAGTAATCACAAAGTAATTAAATGTCAATTGCTCATTGCAACATGGAGTGCAATAATAGACTCAATATGAACGTCTGAATTTGCAATTGCACCTGTTCTGATCCTTAAGGTATTTTCTGTTAAGCTTTTGTGAAAATGTGGCAATTTCCTGCATAACTCCCCACATTAAAAAGTGCCAGTATTTCAATATCCTTTACCAAACTCATTCTATGATCCATGGTTTTAAGTTACTATTGTAGTATTGTCTGATCCATCTTATTTCTGAAAACAAAAAACCTTTCCAGAAGCTTTTGTGTCACTCAAAATGTTGCAGAAATTTGCATCAGAATCAGATTCTGCTGATTCAGTGTTTGAAGTTCTTCATGAAATTACTGCCATTACTTAAAATTTTATCAGTGCTATGTGGTGATAGATGGACAGGATGATCTTAGAGGTCTTTTCCAGCCCTGATGATTGTTTGATTCTACTTTGGCATTTTAGGGCATTTAAAAAATCCCCGCCTGCACACAACTACAGATCCAAACTTTGAGTTGGATCCAAACTTGGTGTTTGGATCACCCCAGAGAAGGCTGAGCTTCTCTGTTTTTAAACACAGCCCATGGCACCAATAACATCAAGCTTCATCTGATAGGGCACATTAGTGCCTCCAACTTCAGTTGTAGATAGAGGTCCTTTAACAAGGTCTCAGCCTGGCCTGTGTCCCCAGCCAATCCAAAGCAGAGGTTGTCCTTGGCATGAGCTTGAACAAGACGGAGAAAAATGGTTCAGAGGCACCAGTCCTGAAGAAAACCTGCCTGTTTTTGTACTTTTTAAACATTGCTTCAAGTCCAAAGCAATTTTACCCATCTTAAGTCCTGGTACATTTGCCATTTGTGAGGACTTACCCCCATTTTCAAGTGGGGTACCAAAAACATACGATCAGAAGGAACTAATAAGACAAAAAAGCACTTGATGGATTTGACAGAATCTAAATGTGTCACAACATGATGGAAAGCACAGCAATGACAGCAGAGCAGCAACATCTAAGGCAGCAGTCAGGATTTGCTCAAACACATCAGCTAAAGGCACAGGAATAAAGGAAAGAAGCTGCTTACCTTTGGAAGGCCTCAGGTACACAAGGAGCTCCAACAAGATCCCTTCACCTCCACTGCCAACACTTAAATGAGGTCTGGGAAGGGGTGAATCCTGGCTCCACCCCTTCCAGTCACTCAGGAGCACTGCGTACACCTGAGCTCCCCTGTGTTGGCCCTGCCTTCCCACCAGGTGCTCAATCACTGGTTTAAGCTGGGAATTAGCATTTCCATTACAGCTATGATTTTTGATTCACTATCAGCTGATCTAAACATTGTTCACTGCCTCTGAAATACCAAGCAAACCATGAAATTAGAACCCTGCCTGTGCCTTGCCTTTAGTACTCTGAAGAAATCAAAGAGTTCCTACAAAGGCTTAATTCCTTACTGATAAATGGAAATGGCTTTTTTGCAAAAATTCTTGTTTGAAAAAAAAAAAAGCTGCATTTGTTATGAAAAAAATTGTATAGCCATTGTGATTTAGCTAAATATATACTGACTCATAAAAGGTACAAGGTTGGCATTATTTCTCCAGAAGTTGAACATTTTTGTCTCAGGAAAAAAAAAAAAAAATAAAAATAAAAAATCTAAGAACATCTTGATCCAAAAGGTAGTTCTAAAGGATTCTGGAATTTAAGAGTCACATAACAGCAGTAAATTTCCAATGGCAAGAAAGTGCCTGAAAGGGAAGCATGTAATATAGCTGTATTTTCCATTGTTTGACCCTGGACAGACACAGTCCTTCCTTCTGACAGCACAGCTCACACACTGCTATCAGCCCTGCCTGTTTCTGTGTTCTCTCTGGCCCAGTAAGGGAGAACATGTCCCTGCTGTCATACAACATTGCTCCATCCTCCTGCATCTTACTTCACATGGGAGCCCCATCCTGAGTTCCACAGCTATCCAGGGCTGCTCTTTCAGCCTCTCCTGAGTCCCTGCTGTAGAAGCTGATGGGAGCTATATATCTGCTGTAGAAAAGGCTTCAAAACCAGCAGGATCAAGGTGATTTAATCGGGGAGGGGAAGGAATTGTCCACCTGGCAAGTCTGCTTGCAAACCAAGGTGTGATTGTGATGCACCTGTGGCTGAAAAGCAAAAGCACAGACCTCTTTCCTTCAGCATGGGATACGAAATCTGAACCAAGCCAAAATCAAACCCACAGCACCACAGTGCTACGGAGCACTGTTTACCTCCAGGAAAAGAATTAATACTGGGACAACTCAGGCAGACTATTTTAGATATGCAGTGTTGAAATATTAATATTGTTGGTAGAGACAGTACATGAACCTACTCTTCTGCAAAGTCTGGCCAAATATATTGAAGTCAAACACTGAATAAGTAACTAGAAAATCTGGATCTTTAACTGTTAGTTTGAATGCCTCCAGCCAGTCACAATTTGTTCTGTCCTGCTTCTAGCTAGAGCAGCTGTTACAAAAACAACCTGTTAGGCACTTCTTGTAGGGTTGGGGAAAATATGTTTTAGAACCCCCACAGTCTTGTTTCCAACTATAAAGTAACAACTGCTGTGCTGAGAACTGGGGGATACAACTACTTTCATCAGTGGAAGAGGTTTGACTTTGGGACCTGTAGGATAAAATATACTATAACTGCTCCAAATGAGTATCTCACAAAGGTAATAACAAAAGAGTTGAAATAGAGACCCTCAATCCAAACTAGTATAATATGGTACTTCTACACAGTTACCACCACTGGAACTGTTTTCCATTTACATCATCTTGCTTGCACTTGAAATCTCGCATGAAGGAATCTCTGCAGAATACCCAAAAAATAAGTTGTATTTGTCGTCCAATTCCCACTCTAAATTCCTCTTGAGAAGCAGAAATATCTCCTGTGGAACCAGCAGACTGTACACAAAGTAGCATGTCAAGTTTCATTCTGTAATCAGTGAAATATACTCTGATCAGTGCAGTGGAGCCTTTGCCACTGCATAGTTAAATATTTCTCAGCATTTCAACAGATGTAAATGTAAAATTCCTTGGGCACATCTTTAAATTTATAATCAACACATGAAGGACAGAAGGACTGACACGATGGATGACACAGTCCATCAGGTTGTCACTGATTCAAGCCATGATTCAAGTCATTAAAGACTGCATAAATCAGACAAGAAGGTAATAACATTGTCTTCTTTCGTGCCCTAGACTGCAGGCAAACAAAAGGGATTCAGTTCCTTCTTCTAGCCAATGGTGTCCAAATCCACATTTCTCAACAGTGCAATCAAACCAGCCAGCTGCTGGTTCCTCAGGGCTCCTGCTCACCAAATCTGGTGATCAAGCTGCCCAGAACATATGGGTGTCCTACACAGGGCAGACATGCTCCTTCCCTTGTTGAACATTTAAATATTGCTCATGAGTGACAGATTGAACATAGGTAAAACATAGGTAAAAGGCATTTTTAAAGTAATTTCCCTGTAGCCCTGAAGGTAGGTTCTCAAATAAGTATGTAATGATCAAAACCACATTTTCAGTATCTTTTTCCCTTGTCTGTGAGTTAAAAGGGGCTGTGTTGAAACTGGAATTCAGTAAATCTGCATAGGTCCATAAGAGTACACAGCTATTCAGCCACAAGGATATGCCAGTGGTGATCTACAGAGCATGTGATGCAAAAGCAGGTTTCAGATGTGTGAAGTTCACTGTAGAGATGCTTCACGTGGCACAGAAATGCCATGCAGCTCCCAGACACCAGGGATTCAGGAGGGCAGAATTATAAATGGAGTAGAAAATGAATTAGAGAAATTCATGAAGGACAATACATTAAGTGGAATCATTTGGATGCAAGTGGTAGCTCCAAGCCTTCATTTCTGATTACTAGGAGCTGAAAGGACAGAAGAAAGCTCACTGTGTATACAGTTTCATATACTTTCAAAATTGTTTGCTAACTTGCTCTATTACATCAGCAGCAAATATGAAAGGCTGGAAAGCAACCCCAGAATTAAAACTCACTTCATCTGGAACATGGAGTTCATAGACCACGATCCTACAGCACTGCTGGGTCTGTTCTGCCACTCGCCCTTTCTCAGGGTGGGAGCACACCAAGCAGTGTGGGCAGCCCTAAGGCTCAATGAGCAACACGGGGGGGTCGGATGTAATTTGAGGATACAAAGAGGATCTGCGGCTGCAGCTGTTGGAATGCAGGCCACCTACATCCCTCATTTTTTCCTGTGACAGAAAGGTAAATGGAGATCCTCCCTCCCTCACACCAGGAAATATAAAGCAGGAGATTACAGTTATTACAACCACCTCTTGTTTGAAACAAAGTTCAAAGGCTTGTCTTCTTTAATCAATCTTCCAGCAGACTAGCGGGGCTGTAAATCTCACTTTCATAGAACCAAAGCACCAGGGCTAAATCAGAGTTCTTCCCTCTGTTTCCCTTTTCAAAGGAAAGCACGATGCAAAGGAGCTCAGATGAAAAAGTTAACTGAACTGATGATACAAGCCACAACACTTTCTCCAAGGAAAGCAAAAGGCAAGAGGTAATAAAGCATCTTGGCTCCAACACCATATGCTGGCAAGGCATTTTCAGGAGCAGATATAATGAATATTCAGCAATCTCTGGGTATTGTGGTATAGCAAAGTGCCTCTGTCAGGGGAGTCATTTCTGTGGCTGAGGTGAGAAAATAATAGATCTCCACTTGGCAGAGGTAACCACAGACATGTTAACTCGGAGCACACAGACCTCCCTGGGTAATGTCCGACAGGAGATTATTAATGAGTCCATTAATGAGCATTTCCACTGTGATGAAGTGGGGAAGGAGATTTTACCATATGTGCACCGAGAAAACCTTGGAATTAAAGGTTCAAGAAAAAAAATATATATATGGAAGAAGACAACATTCAAAAACAGGAATAAAAGCGGAGACTCATCTAGATACATTGTCCTACTTAGTGGAACCCTCAAATGTACAGGAATTGTGTTTTGTTCACAGACTGCAAAGATCTCACAAACGCATGAGCACGAGGAGTTTCATGCTAGGATTGCTTCTGAAACCATCAAAATGCTTAATTCTCTTCTCTATCTTCGTAATAGCTCAGACATCATTCAGTCTGGGTTTTTTCCAGTCTAGACTCATTAATGAGAGCATGGGTTTTATATGGCCCCTCAAACACCACAAAAATGGAGAGCAGAAAACCAGGTCAAAGGGAGCAGTGTGCAAACCATCTGGGGGTCTGTGTCTGGTTCCACGGCACATTGTAATGATTTTGCACATCAACAAACAAAAAAATAGAGCTCTTCCTCTACAAAATTGAATAATTCATTCTTTAGGCTGCCATGGTTTGATACTATACATCCATTTTGGTTTTGCTTTGACTAGGTACACATGTCCCCCTCAACGAAAAGCACTTATCTGTAGCTGTAGAATCCACAGAAGTACAAGGCAATGGCTCACAGGAACAAAGATTGAAGAGAATCTGTGTTTATCAGTCTCCAATTTGCTGCTGTAGGAGCTTGATTAGAAAATAATGACAGTCTCACAGTATCTGTCAGAAGATTCTAATTCAGGGTCCTATCTCTGGCAGCCAAAGCAGGCGAGATGCATCAGAACTCAACAACCTTCTTCCCTTCTACATCATCACTATACATTTCCTACCGTTATCCTTTCTTCTGTCCTATATAATTCCTTTGCATAGCAGCCGTATCAGCACTACAAGCCCCCAGGACACTGCACATCTTCTTGTTTCTGCCTTAAACTGCAAAACCTGCACTTCCCAGCAGCCCCATAGCTACTTTTGACGTCCTCTGGATGCTTAGCTCAGTAAATATATGATCAAAACCTGCAGTTGCCTGATAGACATTCAGCTCTGCAGAAGGCCAACAACCTATTTCTTTCATCCTAGATTGTGCAACCATCTCATAACCTGAGGTCCTGAGACTTGTCTGTATTGCGTTGTGTTGCGTTATTTTTTTCTTCTTTTTGTCTTCCTTTCTTTTTTGTATAAATGTGCTCTTAGCCCCACTTTTCCCTGAAGGAAACATGAGAAAGCACTGAGTCATGCTCTGCTTTCCTAGAGAAGATGCTTTCTGCATTGCTCT